TCAAAGTTTTTATTTTTTTATAGAGACAGGGGTCTCACTATGTTGCCCAGGCTCGTCTCAAATTCCTGCTTTTTTTTTTCTTTCTTTTTATTTTTTATTGTGAAGTTGTGGGGTACAGTTAAGGGTTAGGTATATAATTGCGTTTCATTCAGGCACCCTGTTGATATGGGGTGTTTCCCCGTTCCCAGACAGATATTTGCTACTGTTAATCCCATCTCCCTCCCCCCACCATAGTTTCCCAGAACGGTCAGTCATTTTCATATAGTATTGCATTGGATGTTTAAGTGAAAACATATATATATGACTGAGAACATGTGATACTTGGATCTTTGTTTCTGTGAGAGGTCACTCAGTATTATAGACTCTAGTTCCATCCAGGTTGCTGCGAAATTCATGATTTTGTTCTTTTTAATGGCTGCGTAGTATTCCATCATGTATATGTACCACATTTTTTTAATCCAGTCCTCTTTTGACGGGCAGCATGGCTGTTTCCAGGTTCCTGCTATTGTGAACAATGCTGCGATAAACATGCGTGTGCAGGTATCTTTTTTATAGAGTGATTTGTGCTCTTCAGGATATATACCCAGTAGGGGGATTGCGGGGTCATATGGGAGGTTGCTATTTAGAGCTTTTAAGAATCGCCACACTGCTTTCCACAGAGGTTGCACTAGTTTACACTCCCACCAACAGTGTAGAAGTGTTCCCTTTTCACCACACCCTCCCCAGTAGCTGTTATTTTTTGAGTTGTTGATAATTGTCATTCTGACTGGGGTTAGGTGGTATCTCAGTGTGGTTTTGATTTGCATCTCCCTGATGATTAGTGAGGTTGAACATTTCTTCATGTGTTTGTTGGCTGCTCGGATGTCTTCCTTTGTGAAGTGTCTGTTCATATCTTTTGCCCAGTTTATAATGGGGTTGTTTGTTTTTTTCTTTTCAGCTCGTTTGAGTTCTTTGTAGATCCAGGATGTTAAGCCTTTGTCAGACCTGGAGTTGGCAAATACTTTTTCCCAGTCTGTAGGCTGTCTCCCTGCTCTCTTGATGGTTTCTTTGGCTTTGCAGAAGCTTGTCAGTTTAATAAGGTCCCACTTATCTATTTTCTCTCTTATGAGCTGTGGGTTTTGGGTTTTGTTCAGGAATAGGATACCAGTTCGATTTCCATGAGGGTTTTTCCTTCATTTTCTAAGGTTCTTATGGTTTGAGGTTTTACATTTAGGTCTCTGAACCATTTGGAATTAACCTTTGTACATGGGGATAGATAGGGGTCCTGTTTCAATCTTCTGCATGTGGTCAACCAGTTTTCCCATCACCATTTATTGAATAGGTTCTCCTCTCCCCAGTGGTAGGTGGTGGAGGCTTTGTCAAAGATGAGTTGGTTGAGAAATTGCTTCTGGGATCTCAATTCTATTCCATTGATCTATATGCCTGTTCCTATACCAATACCAAGCTGTTTTGATGATTGTAGCCTTATAGTAAAGTTTGAAGTCAGGTAGTGTGATACCACCTGCTTTGTTTTTTTTTTTTACTGAGGATTGTTCTAGCTATTCTTGAACGTTTGTGTTTCCATATGAATTCCTGCATTGTTTTTTCTATGTCTGAGAAGAATGTTGCTGGTAATTTGATGGGTATTGCATTGAATTTGTAGATTGCCTTAGGCAAGATGGACATCTTCACAATGTTGATTCTTCTGATCCATGAGCATGGGATATTTTTCCATTTGTTTGTGTCAACTTTGATTTCTTTGAGCAGTGTTTTGTAGTTTTCCTTGTAAAGGTCTTTCACGTCTCTGGTTAGGAAGATGCCAAGGTATTTCAATTTTTTTGTGTCTATTGTGAATGGAATTGTGTTTTCCATTTGGGTTTCTGTTTGTTTATTATTGGTGTAGAGAAATGTGATTGTCTTTTGTACATTTATTTTGTATCCTGAGACTTTGCCAAAGGGCTTTATCAGTGTAAGGAGGTTTTTGACAGATTCTCTTGGGTTTTCAAGGTATACAATCATGTCGTCTGCAAAGAGAGATAACTTGATTTCCTCTTTTCCTATTTGGATACCCCTGATTGCCTTCTCTTCTCTGATTGCTCGATCCAGACTTCCAATACTATGTTGAACAGGAGGGGTGAGAGTGGGCATCCTTGTCTTGTTCCAGTTTTCAGGACAAATGGTTCTAATTTTTGTCCATTTAGGAGTATGCTCGCTGTGGATTTCTCGTAGATGGTTTTTACTATTTTGAGATATGTTCCCCATATGCCTAGATGTTCAAGGGTTTTTATCAAGAAGAGGTGCTGGATTTTATCAAAAGCTTTTTCTGCATCTAATGATATAATCATGTGGTTTTTGTTTTGACATCTGTTGATGTATTTAGTAACATTTATGGTTTTACGAATGTTGAACCAGCCTTGCATCCCAGGAATGAAGCCTACTTGGTCATGATGGATGATTTTTGATCTGTTTTTCTCCACTTGTCTGGGTCCCCCGGCTTGGGGTCTCACACTGAGTGCCTCAGCCAGGGTGGGCCAGAGCTCCAAAGCTCCAAAGGGCAGGCAGTGGGTAGTGAGGGTGGCTCTGGGCCCCCCACAGGGTACTTCAGCCAGGAATGTGACCGGTGTCTCTGCGGGGTGGGCACCCAGAGCCTCTCTGTGTGACCAGTGGTGCTGGGTGCCAGGCTGGATACAATGCAGCCAGGGAGAGAGCCAGAGGGAGCAGGGACCCAAAACTCCCCCACACGCTGCAATATCCGGCCTTAGGAAATGAGGTAAAGTTTGTTGATAGTTGGACAGGGCAATGTAAGTCT